AACCTGAAGTTAGGAAGAAAGAGAGAGAGGGATGTCTCGATAAAGAACTGTGTAACTGGAAATATTGGGAGAATACTTTGTACAGTATACTGATTTCTAACCACTATGCTGCACACCTGAAACCAATACAAAATAATGTTGAAAGTAAACTGTAATTGAAAAATAAAATTTAAAAAAATACTGTAATACTTTCTACCTCAAGAAATGCTTTACTATTTATTTTAACAAGAGAAGCATTTGTTTATACATTTCTAATTATTACCTCTTTGGGCTTGGGTTACAGTCACTTTTGGATCCAAATGAGAAGAATGTGTACCCTGATTATGGGTCCCAATTTGAGAAAATGATATTCATAATATTAGTCTCACTTGTTTTCAATACATTCATACCCAACAACTTCTTCCCCAGATAAATTATGAAAAACATAGTTTTACAGCTTAAGGTCTCAAGCTTTAGAGCACAATACAATCACCAGGGAGTTCTGTGAAAAATGCAGATTTGGGGGTTCCACCCTCTAGATCCTGGGTCAGGAGTTGTGTGATAGGGCCCAGTTGTTTTCATTGTAATTGAACTCCTTAGATGGTTCTGATGAAGGTGGTTGACAGTGCACACTGCTTAACAGTGTCTTAGATTATATCTACAAACTTGTTCCTTGGTTCACAGGTTCCTTCGCTGAAGAATTCGGGATAGTAACTTTTATTTTGAAAGAAGCCTTCAAGTTACAGAGCTGAACTTTAGAGAATCTTATAAAAGGGCTACATGACACAAGTGAACAATTTTCTAAGAGGTATCAAAATCAAGTATGGTCTCAAAATTGGTCTGAAGTCTTATTTCGCTATTATGAAATCATTTTGTGCTGTTCAAAAAAGGAGATACAGACGTGAAATGCTTTTTCTCCCTCTTAAAAGAAAGATTTGGTGACATTATCACCAAAGACCAGAGAAAGGCTTACTTCGTCTAAGTCATCATCGGGAGTAGCTGGTGTTCGGTCTGTTCTGAATGAGGCCATGGATGACGTCTCTGAGTCCATGGAGTCATCATCGTAACCAATAAATGGGTCCAAAACGGGCCTCTAATGGAGGGAAAGTACATATTTACCGACACAGATAAACGTGGGAAAAGTTGACACATTATTAAAGCACTTTTAACTGGCATACGTGCAAATGATTATAAAAGACATGGGTCCTTTAATGCTTCCTTGATGAAATAAAAATATGGATACGACCAGAATAATTCCAATGAATATCTGTCCCATATTATTCAATTTCTGATATTTTTGGGGAAGCTCACTAATATTGGCTCTCTTCATAGAAGCATCGTAGTCTCTTTTACAGTACATTGTATACCATGATGAGTTTATGTTGTTTACTCCTTTCAGTATTTAAAACTAACCAAGGGACTCTGGCAGGCCAGGCATCTCTGTGAAGAGGATTATCAAATCTGAAGTCTTACCACCTAATTCCATAACCAAATGAAACGATGTCCCCAATAAAAACAAAAATCAAACCAATAGACAAATTAAACAATAAGACTTTGTGATTTTATTATTTAAGAAGAGGTTACACAGATATTGGTGAATTGGGACTATCATTACCCATAATATTGTGCAAGTAAATAATGAAAATACATTAATCAGTCACAGGGTAGGTATCTGATGCTAATATTCAGTAAGAGACACCCCGTCCTATGTGTCACTTGTACGTTCCTGGAGTGTGACTCTCTCCAACTTGTCAGATAACCCTTTCTATGTCAAGCCTTGTGGCTCCCTAACTCAGAGAAGGTCATATTAAAGCAAACCTTTCCAGGTTAAAATGTTTTGGACTGAAAACTGTCAAGAGAAGAGACTTTCTTCTAGTAAATAAAGCCCATGGTTTGAACTTCTCGGGAACACCTGACTTATCACATCTTTGCAGGAAGATTCCTTGGCAAGCCTCACTTCTCTGGCCGTGGCAAAGCCTGCTAACCTAGTTTCCTCATTACCTTAATTGGCTTGGAACTTCTTCTATGCTTTCTTCTGCGGATGAGCTTTTCTCGGTCCTGGAAAACAGACCAAGGACTTTTCAGACCTTGAATTGGTACATTTTTCCTTATAGGTTTTGTTGTTGTTTGTATTGTTTTGCGTTGCAAAGACAGAGTTGTTTTTCCGAGAGACATTACATATTTCTATTTAAGATAAGATTATATTGCCAGGCTGGTGTGGCTCAGTGGTTGAGCAGCAAACCATCAACCAGAGGTCCCAGCTCTATTCCTAGTCAGGGCACATGCATGGGTTGTAAGCTTGATCCCCAGTGGGGGGCATGTGAGAGGCAGCCAATCCATGATTCTCTCTCATCATTGATGTTTCTCTCCCTCTCTCCCTCTCCCTGGGGGGCAAAAAAATTGTTGTGTAAATTTTAGCAACTTTTGGTTTTGATGCTTAAATATTTTCAAAGTAAAGACATTCTACAACTTGTCCTAATAATCTATGTAGATCTGAGAGCCTCACAATGAGGAAGCGTACTGTGTTTCTAATCAGAATCCTTTGTTTTATACTCAAGATCAAGTAGCTCTGAAAATAGTTACTCATATTCTTCCAAAGCACAACGCTGCAGTTTTCTCAAACCCAAAATTACTTTCAATTTAAATGTTGAAAAAATACCATTTCGCAACAAAGGAAAGCCTTATTCTTTCTTTCAATCACTTGACAGGCATAGAAAACTACCTTTGACTATTTTTGGGTCCTTGTTCTCACCAGCAGCCTCTGGAGATGGGAACAGTGTCTTGGCTGAAATCATCTAGTGCAGTGATTTTCAACCTTATTCATCTCATGGCATATATAAACTAATTACTAAACTTATCTGGCACTAAAAAATATATGTTTTGCCGATAAGACAAAACAAATAGGCATAATTTTGATTCATTCACGCCGGATGGCTATTATTGTGTTGGCTGTTGTCATATTTTTATTTGACAACCTTAGAGAGAACAAATCAGTGTCCCTAGTCAGGTATTGCATGTTTCAAAAATTCTTGCAGCACACTGGTTAAAAATCACTGATCTAGTGGCTTCAGAGGGGTGAGGGTGTGGGGGGGAAGTTCTCATTGGAATTTTCGGGGAAATGAAAGCATATCTAGAAATAATGATTTCTTGATTCATTCTTGTGAATAGAGATATCCTGGGAATTTGGTGTTCATCTACTAAGTCAGTGGTTCTCAACCTTCCTAATGCCGTGACCCTTTAATACAGTTTCTCATGTTGTGGTGACCCCCAACCATAAAATTATTTTCGTTGTTACTTCATAACTGTAATTTTGCTACTGTAAACAATATGTAATTATATATGTGTTTTCTGATGGTTTTAGGCGACCCCTGTGAGAGGGTCGTTCGACCCCCAAAGGGGTCACGATCCACAGGTTGAGAACCGCTGTACTAAGTACTTCAGGTATTTACTGTACAAATTCAAAGGTAGACGAGGTAAGGGGCACTTATGTCTCCCTGAGAGTCTGCTTGACATGCCTCAATGTGTCCAAATTCTATAAGAAACTTTTAGCTTAAACTCAGGATACTTAAAACCAAACAAATCCCTAGACTAGTGAGCCTGTGAAATTTATGAAGGGTATGGAAGTGAAGGGAGAGGCATAGCATTTCAGAAGGCTATGTTTGATAAATAAGCTGGTTTAAGTCATTGATGTTAACCTTTCTGATTTCTCACTTTTATATGTAAAAATATTTTGACCATGCAACTTCAATATATCTGAAACTTTAAAAAATGTATGCTTAGATCACTCTACTAATAGAGTATATGCATTATAACATATACTCAGCATAGAACATTTTAAAAGGGTAAACCACAAGTAACTATACAAAAAAGTTGTAATCTTTTCTTCCCTGGGCTCTAAATCACCTTGCTCACTCTATGCCGGGAGCCGGTCCACCCTTGCTGTTTCAACTATTTGGAGACTATTGCCTAGAACCCCCCCTCACTAGCTCCTCAGGACCTTGGCTTGGTCCTGAAGTGAGAGTGACCAGAGGTGTCATTCACAACATAAAGACAGAGAGGCAGAGAGGCAACCCAAAGGCATTAAAGGCCTTAATCCACAGCTGTTGGTAACACGGACTTTAACCAGATGCAAATGGGAGTAATACTTGCTCTACCTGCTTCACCAGGTACTGGAGTCATGGTCAGAAGATCTGGACTGCAATCTCAGCTCTGTCACTACTTATGACATGACTGTTCAACAAATATTTATTAAACTGCAACTATGTGCTAGATACTGACATAGAAGTTGGGAAACAAGAAGCATATAGTCCTGCTATTATTGTAGGTGAAATATTTAACCTGTAAGTCTCAGAATCTTACTGGAGGCAATTATAAGATATGCCCACATGACCTACCTACTCACAGTACAATGCATTTGAAAGTTTGCAGCTATTATTTGTGTTACCAGATTAGTCAACAAATTAATCCTATATAATAAAAGCCTAATATGCTAAGTGTCTGGTTGTCCAGTCGGCCGTTCAACCAATCAAAGCGTAATATGCTAATAATATGCTAAGGCTGCTCAACCGCTCGCTATGATGTGCACTGGCCACCAGGGGGCAGACATTTGACCGGTCGACCAGTCACTATGATATGCACTGACCACTAGTGGGCAGATGCACTGACCGGTAGGTTAGCTTGCTGCTGGGGTCTGGCTGATCGGGACTGAGCGAGATGGGCTGGACACACCCTGGAGCCCTCCCTGGCTGGCCAACCTCCCGCATCCTTCCCTGGTCCTGATCGTGCACCAGTGGGGTCCCTCAGCCTGGCCTGCACCCTCTCACAATCAGGGACACCTTGGGTGATGTCAGATAGCTGGTTTTGGCCCAATCCTGCAAGCCAGGCTGAGACACCTTGGGTGATGTCAGATAGCAGGTTTTGGCTCAATCCTGCAAGCCAGGCCGAGGGACCCCACTGGTGTATGAATTCATGCACCAGGCCTCTAGTTTATTATAATTACTGATGATCAGATTATAATTGAAAAGGTATAAAACAGTTCAACAATATAAAGTATTTTTGGATAGTTTATTATAATTACTGATAATCAGATTATAATTGAAAAAGGCATAAAACAGTTCAACAATATAAAGTATTTTTGGAATAAAGTCTCTTGAACCTATTTATATATTAAACATATGAATTCGGGCCTTTGGGGCTAATCCAAAATTATTAAGTGCTCCCAGTGTATGGTGGTGCCTTGGCTACTTATCCTTGGGAACAGCTTAGGTTCACAGATTGATTGAGACCTACCCTGGTGAGCTCATCAATAATGTTCTGCTGCTCAATGACCTGAAGTTTGAGAAACTCTGTCTCTTGTTCTTCATTAGCTTGATCGAGGTCATTCAGAGATTTTAATTTTTTAC